ATGGGGAAATGGAGTGGGTGAGGGAGAGGGAGAGTGAGAGAGAGAAAAATCATACGTTATATGGTTAGATTAGAGGAGAAAATCAAGAAATAGAGCGGGCGGGGGCAAAAGAGGAGAGGGGAGTAGAGGGGAAGAGAGGAGAAAAATCTAGAGAAGAAAGAAGAAAAATGGGTTAGGGTTGTATTACAAAAAACGATTTGCGACCGAATCGGTCGCAAATTTGAAATTTAAATTTTCAAATTGCGACTGATTCGGTCGCAAATCCCGTTGACCATCCAGACCTCGTTTTTATTGCAGATTCCGACCAAATCGGTCGAAATATTTAATTTTATTTTTTTAATTTTAATTTTTTCGATTGATTCAGTCACAAACTATAAAACTATTTTCGCGGTATTTTTTGCGTAATTGAGGGACGGAATCAGTTGGAATTTTGAGCCAAAAATTTAAAAAAAATATTAACATGTATTTTTAATAAACTTTCCAACCGAATTAGGCGAAAATTGCGACTGAATTAAATCGGTCGGAATTATTCAGTCTCAAATTTGCTGATTTTTAGTAGTGACTTACCATTCACAGAAGTTCTCTCACAAATGCCTGCTTATGCCAAATTCTGTAAGGAGATCCTTACAAAAGAAGAGGAAGATAGAAGAGCCCTTAGTGGTCAAGCTCACAGAGCATTGCAGTGCGATATTGCAAAATAAACTCCCACAAAAGTGTGGAGATCCAACGAGTTTTAATGTTCCTTGCTCTTTAGGAACTATTAATTTTGATAAGTCTTTATGTGATTCTGGTGCCTCAATTAATTTAATGCCTCTATCTATTTACAGGAAATTGGAGAAGGAGATCGGAGAGATAAGGTCCGCACCAATATCTTTGCAGCTGGCTGACCAAATGACTTTAATACCCGAGGGGATAGTGAAAGATGTTTTAGTTCGGGTGCATAAGTTCGTATTTTCTGTGGATTTTATAGTAGTAAAAATGGAGGAAAACAAAGAGGTCCCCCTTATCCTAGGAAGACCAATCTTAGTAACGAGTAGAGAAATATTGGATATACATGAGAGGAAACTCATGCTTATAGTGGGTGAGGAAACTGTGACGTTTAAGATGGATATAGAAACGGGGGTGCGAAAAGGAAAACCAGCTGCAAGTGTTCAGTGGAAAGTGAAGTTCTCGAATGAGAAGTCTGCAGGGAGTGAGAAAGATAAGTGTGGGGGGTGTACCCCAAGAATACTAAGAAGAAACTGACTGCATGTATGTGTATATTAGCTCGGGCATGGAGAATGGAGCCCAACTTCGACTCAGATCCTGACTAGATATTCAGGGAAGTTTCCTCTACCTTATGCTTTTTAAGTGTATGTCATGAGGACATACCACAACTTAAAGTGTGGGGTGGGGGATATGTTGTATGTATGTATGTATGTATGTATGTATGTATATTAGTATTAGTATTAGTTTTTGTTTTGTTAGTTTTAGTAGTTAGAGATACAAAACAAATTGGAAAACTCATAAAATTTTTAAATATTTTCAATTTTTTCCGACGATGGATAACAATCGACAGGTTTCTTGAGGGATTAAAGACGAAAGAAAAAGGCAAAAAGATTTTCGTTTGTAGGCCGTGTGTTTGCAAAGAGAATTAGTAGTTTTAGTTAGTCTTGGAAGTGATATAGGCATTTCTTTATTGAGCCAGATACATGCTATCACCCACTTAATTGTTATGTATATTAGTTAACCCCATTGAGCCTTTAATCATATTTCTTTGGCAACCACATTACAAGCCTTACCCATTTGTTTGAATTGACCATCTATTTGAACCTTTACCTCTCGTGAGTACTTGCATTTTTTATGAACTTTGTAAAAGTTGAAGTGTGGGGTGGTTGGTTTGGCTTTTGAGTGGAACTATTGAACTAAGGAGAAAGGTGCACTGTTTTGAAAAAGTAAGATCCACTTGAAGTGAAAAAGAAAGAAAAATAATAATTGTATGATTGTGAAAAACATTCCTTGATAGTGGTAACTCTTGATGTAATTGTTCTTAAAGAAGTAGGGAGTTAATGTATATTGATGTGAATGTGGGGTTTGGTTCCACATAAGTATGGGGTGAAATTGTTAATTGTATGTATTAAAGTGCTTAGGGAGGTATAGTCTCTTATATCTAAATGTATCCTACCCATCTTGCAGCCTACATTACAACCAATTAAAGTCCTTCTTGATCCTTGACTGAATGATCTCAATTAGTAGAGTAGTACACTACGGGCAAGCCTATGGTACGTCTTTTGTGGCATATGAATGTTATTTCTGAGAATGAGTGTATTTTTTATATCTTGAGTTCCTAATTGGTCTTAAATTTCATTGTGAGTGGAACTACTCTATATTGTTCTGTGAGGGCACTTGATTCATGAAGGGAAGGTAATGTCGGTGACCTCTGTGTTATAGTAAGTGAGTGGGTTGTGAACTATGCATGGTGATTTTGAGTCAACTCTTGAGGCGGGGATGTTACGTTATTGTACTCAATCTGTTTTTAATATTCTTGATATAATGAGTTATGAGAGTTGTTGAAAAAGGTCGTGTCTATATGAAGTGTAGTTTGATTGCTCGAGGACGAGCAATGATTTAAGTGTGGGGTGTTGATGGTAGGCTATAATCTCATATTTTAGTCGCTTATTGCACTCTAATTCACTGCACTTTACTTGTGTTTGAGATTTAATTGATAGTGTTTTGCACTTATTGTGTGTTTTATGCCTTGTAGGAGTGATTCCGAGCTATGTTGATGTTATGGAATGAATTCATGAGATTTAGAGCTTTGAAGTCTGAGTAAAAGCCCAAGGGAATAAATCGGGATCGTGTTCGGGGGTCGAGGACCAAGTCTGGACGTCAAAAATCAAAGTTTGAGCCGTACTTTGAGAAACCCCACTGTCGTGGCGCGTGGGTGTAATGACCTGGCCGGTCATTTCGAGGGTTATAGCCCCGTTTTCCCCATTTCTACTTCTGTTTGTGTTATTCATCTATATTATGTTATATCGAGTTAGTTGGTTAGAAACCGGAGTGGTTTCAGAGTGAAAAGAGACACTTAGTCTCTTAAGTAGAAACTTAAGTTGGAAAAGTCAACCAGATGTTGCCCTATATGTAAACGATCTTGGATTTGGATTCTGATGGTTCCGTTAGCTCCGTTAGGTGATTTTGGACTTAGGAGTGCATCCAGAATGTGATTTGGAGGTCCGTGGTAGAATAAGGCTTGAATTGGCGAAATTTGGAAATTTGGCGATTTTTGTCGGCAGTGGAAAATTTGATATAGGGATCGGAATGGAATTTCAGAAGTTGGAGTAGGTTCGTAGTGCCATTTGTGATGTGTTTGCAAAATTTGAGGTCATTCGGACGTGATTTGGTTGGTCTCGACAT